TGAATACCAACCCAGCACCCATTTACAAATATTTTAGTTGCATCAGCTATTGCACTTGGTGCAATTTCTTCTAAATTTTCCATAGACCATTCCTCTAAGAATTCGAGAATTGGAGAAGGCTGAGATCCAACACTAATGTAAGCCATTAATGCTAAATTTTTTACTAGGCCAACAGCAGCACCTTCAGGGGTCTCAGCCGGACATAACATACCCCATAGTGTATTATGTAATTGACGAGGTTTAGCTAGCTTTCCATCTCTCCCAATTGGAGAATTTACTCTTCGTAAATGTGATAGTGTTGATGCAAATGTTAACCTATTTAATACTTGTGAAACACCAGCTCTAGCTTGATGTGCTTTTTTCTGATCTCCCCAATTGCCTGTAGCAAGTGAGTATCTTAAGCCATCAGTAATAATTTTAGTTTTTATAGCAAGTTCTAGGTTGAAATCTTTTCCTCTATCTATGAATTTCTGTGCATATAATCGTACTTCTTTCATTAGGTTTTTAAATAAACCCCTAAACAAAAATGCCAATAATGGACCAGCTAAATCTAATCTTTTATTGCCATAATGATCTCGATCATCTAATTCTCTTCTGCCTAAAGATGCTGATAATAATCGATGTACCATATAACCAAGAAAGTAAGCTTTTTTAGTTTCACAAAAATCACTTATACCTACATGTGGGAGCATTTCCTTTTGCAAAATTTCTCTAGCATATTTAATACGTTTTTCCTTAGTTACTCCAGGTCTTGCACCTCTAGTACCAATAAAATTTAAAGCAACGTTTTGTTCTTGTATTACAAATGCTTCATCTAAGGAAGGTTTTACCATTTCCATCATTTCAGGATCATCAAAATCATATATGATATGTTCCAAAATATCACGATCAGCTACAAATCCAAGTGCACGAAAAACAATCATAATAGGGATTTCTTGTTTAATGTATGGAATAATTGCAATAATACGTTGTCCTATGGCAGACTTTTTAATACTAGCTCCACTTTTTGCCATCATATTAATCCACAATGTTGATGTAGGTCTTGAACTATGTTCCAAACAAGATCGAATTTCTGATTTATAGGCATATTTACCATCTTTCATACTAAATACATAAACTGTATTTGTTGCCATCTTTTCTTGTGCAATAAGTACTTTTTCTGATCCATTGATAATAAAGTAACCACCAGGATCTAATGGACATTCATTTAATTCTGTTAAATCACGATCAGATAAACCAGCAAGTAAACAATATTTTGATCTTAACATAATTGGAATTTTTCCTATAAATGTTTTTTGGTGTTGTGTTTCAATAGGATCCTCTCCATCTTTCACAATTGTTTTAGTTATATCTACATATAATGGTGCAGAATATGTCAAATTTCTCAGTCTTGCTTCATTTGGCATCATAGGAGATGGAGCTCCATCCTTTTCCCAATGAGTAGGTTTAGATAAATAAATCTGCTCAAACTTTAATAAATGTCTGACTGGATTTTCTATTTCACCAGAAGTATGTTGTGCTTCTGCTTGTAAGTCAATTTGAGGAGAATCTTCAACAATTCTTTGAACAGACATTTCAATAAATTCATCAAAACTATCAAGTTGTTGCCTTACAAGACCTTTTTCATCAAAATAAGCATTAATAACAATCCAGCATGCTTCCTGCCAAAGTTTTGATGAAATTTCTTCTGCATCTTCATCATCATATTGATCTAAATAAAAAAGGTTATTAGCCATTACTTTCAGTAATAAATTTAAATTAAT